AAACTTGGAGAACTACAACAACCACAATCAAGAAAGTACAAGTATTTATAAATAGCTGTCTACGCAAGATACTCAACATCCATTGGCCGGATACCATCAGCAATAGCCTTCTGTGGGAGAGAACAAACCAACTTCCAGCTGAAGAGGAAATTATGAAAAGACGATGGAAATGGATAGGACATACATTACGCAAATCATCAAACTGCATCACGAGGCAAGCTCTAACTTGGAATCCTGAAGGGAAGCGGAAAAGAGGAAGGCCAAAGAACACGTTACGTCGGATAATAGAAGTAGATATGAAAAGGATGAATTACAACTGGAAGGAGCTGGAAAGGATTGCCCAGGACAGGGTTGGATGGAGAATGCTGGTGAGCGGCCTATGCTCCATCACGAGGAGTAACAAGTGTAAGTAAGTAAGTAAGTAAGTAATATTCCCTTGACAATATATTTGTAAATAATGAGTAAACATCAAAAGATACCACAAATGTATCTGACATTATTTAAATGATCCGTTTCATGGAATAACTGAAATGTGTCTTTTAGACTACGAACCACCATTTACCTACAAATTAATTATTATAATAGAATGAATTATTATTATCCCATAAATTTTGTTGCTTTTTGTTTTTTACTTTGTTTGCATTTCTGTACTGTTTGAATAAGCTTGATTTTATCGGTAATTACAGAAACAATGAAAACTGTCTAACAACCAACTGATTACAGCAAATAGTGTTATTATTTAATAAACTTTTATTCACTATAATGTTAGTGTATTTGTAGTTAGTGAATTGTTCATTACTTAAATTATTTTACAGACCCCCATCACCACCTCTTTTGTTTCTGTCTGTTAGTTATATTTTTGTACAGAATAGTTTTAGTTAGTATGAGGAGTATAAAAACTTTTACTGACTCGTCAGCAAAAAAAGAAAAAAAAAGAAACAAATGAAGTACCTGAAACATGAACCTTAAAAAATAAAAATAAAAACAAACTATAAACTAAATATTATAATGAACTGATAACAATATACTTAGTAGACTGTTTTGTTTATCTATGCATATCTGTATACTGTATATTTTATACATGTTTGAATTACACACTAATTAACAAATTAGATATTACCCCCCCCACACACACACACAGACACACTTATTCCCCTATTCTCATTATCTGTTAAACTTTTCATATGACCAGACTGAATGTTCAGTAACTATTCCATTTAACAATGAAAAAACAAAATTTGAAGAAATTTTTTCTCATCATGTCTCATTTTAAACTGTGAAACACGATTTTTTTTCTAGACAGATGAGAAACATTTTGACAAATTTCTAAGTTTTTTTTTTTCTAAAATTAGTATTCGTAGATTAATTTAATATGGATTTAGCATTTACACGGCTCTTGTGGAGCCAGAGTGTATAATTCGGTAAGTTTGTCATCACACAGTAGAACACCATCCATCTTGATTGAGCAAAGGATAAGTAAGAGTGATTAAGAGTTATATTCTTGCTTACTTTGTCAACACAGGTCATCAATTCGATTTGAATAAAGTTGTTAAGGTTATTTATCATATTCCAATAAATTTACCACATGGTTTACGAGTTTGTCTGTTGCATATTGCTGAAGCTATCGGAATTCATGTTTGCAAACCTAACTTTTGTATCTAAAAACATTGTGTGCAACTACTCTCACTAACTTAACCATCAGTATAGGAGTGAGTTTTCAGCTGAACTTACTTTAGACCCTCTTCTTCAAAAATATCCAAACCATTTTCTAATTTTTTCCACTTTGTGTGTTTACATATTCTCAACATTCGTCTCTTGATTTTTACATCACTACTATAATACGTAATAAATAAATGATGTTCGTCATGAACACATGATATTGGTGGAGTTATCGCTGGATACGCTGGAGCAATGAACAGTTGTTCCCTCCTAGTTTCGGATTACATAGTAGTGAGTACACATGACTCATCATGGGGAGGAAGTGATTAACTTCAGGGGCTTGCGCAAATCCCTTTGTCTTTGATGAATGAACATCAGATTATCTATTATTTTCATTTCAAATAAAATCTAAATCTACGGCCAACGAAAAGTGGTTTGCGTATCCTTAACGCCGAGCATTGATCGCAACTTGGATGAGATTAAGTCAAAATATAACATTCCGTATGTTCTAAATTTCAAACGGGAATCGATACCAGGACCCTTGCTTCCACGTGTAAATGTTTCATGGTTTAATGAAATTCGTCAATCTCCACAACCTCATACTGACACATGTTGACTTTCATATTTTGTAATCTAAAGATTACTTACATTTTCGAATAACATCAGTGAGATAACCATTTAAAACCAGTGGATACTAGATTAACAATTGATGATACGGTGATCTATAGGCAGCCCACTCATTTTGATAAGTTAAGGTCGAGTAAAATCCTTAACACGATCTTTTGCACTAACTGTAGAGGAAATAAATACTAAGGCAATAGAGCAATCTCGCATTATCTGATTCCCAAAAGTTGTCTAACCAAAGTCTATGATGGAATCTACCATTTAAAAGAATAGCATTTATAAACCGTCTAGCCTAGCGTTTTTGAGAACTTCAGGTAGAATGTGTTCATGGATAGTTTTTTAGGAAACCTTCTGATCATTTATCTAAAACGGTTGATATTTCCAGGATACACTGATATTTATTTTATAATGACATGTATGTTATAATCCTAAAACCATTTTATACCACTGAACAAAAATCAAACCTTTGAATGTGAACAAAAATACCCCATTAAAATAAATGTATATATTCCTACTGAATATTGATATAGCGCAGGTGGATGATTTTGGTGGAGTTTTGTTCTCCGAGTTGGCTCAGATATTGATATATCATGTCAACAGAAAATTATCAAAAGACGTATGTATAATACACTTTTCTTTCCTCATATTCTTTTTTCCAGTTTACTTAATAAAATATCATTCAATATAACCATTTTTAACTAGTTAATATACTTCTAAATGTTAGTCTATCAGAAGATACTATTAATATACAACTCTGAACGACCGTTAGAAAAAAACCATAATTCGTAGATAAACAGCGATATATAATAATAAATAAACCATTCTATTATGGGTTACTTATTTAGGAAAGGTGCTTTTTAATTTCGACTCACTAAAATCTCGCCCAAAACATATAATTCACTGTATCGTTACACTTTGTAAACTATCATACGCAATGCGCATTGCTGAGGAGTCCCATACTAGGACGAAACGGCCGTCCAGTGCTTCCAGGTTTTCAATGGTGGTCGAGCTTCAACTGACTCATGATTTCAATCTGTGAAAAAGGTTTTTTCCAACTACAAAGAAAGAAGAGCAGCTGAAGCTTTCTATATGATGCCTAACCCTACTGCTCTCGATAGAAAAGAAGGCCTCACCATACGTCCTACTTGGACTATCTATCCCAGCTATGATGTTTGATATAATTTACACTTCACGCTATTATCTTGCATAGAAATTAAACTCTATCCTTTCTCACCACAGAGTTCACATTTTTCATCCCTAACCTTGCACACACACACGTTTGCATACATGTCGCTTATAACTCATCTTGACCGAAATGACATGAGATTGACTTGTTCACACCTGTATTTTGATTAATCGCACATAATATTCTTGCGCTGTTCCTTTGTGCTATTTAAACTTGAATTAATTTTGATTTGGTTATTTATTCTATGAAGAAGTAGCCTACACTGGGTCATGAAACGTCAGAAAATCTAGTTTATTTATATCATACATCATAGTTTATAAAGATATTTTTTCATAGTTTACACGTTAAATATGATAAGTGAATTTTAGATTATTATAAACCATTGAATTTTAAAAATTCCCCTCCATTTCTATATACCAATCTTCTTTCTATCACCAGTGTTTTTTCGCCGGTTACAAGATACATATTATTAGTTCTTCACTATTTAAACTACAGACGATGTGCATATTTCAAAGCTCCTCAAATAAGTAGATAAATAAATGAAGAATATTTGAGTGAACAATCGCCTTCAATAAATTTATCATCAGGCTCTACAGTTATAAGTCCATAATGATTGTGATATTTTACAAAGGCCTAAAATAAAGCATGTATTAATGAATTTGACAATGTTATGCGTTAAAAATGGTACACGTTTGCATCTATTACGAGGTATATACTTCAGAAATGTGTTATTTGCGAATTAGAAAGGTCATTCAATAAAGGTCAGAATGATTAATAGTAAAGTGCCCAGTCACAATAAGTGTAATAGTATTATAGCGAAAATGAAAATACAAAAAAAATTGTGTAAATAAAATTCATAGTAGGAGAATTTTATTTTGTCAGTTGAGATAATGATAATAATAATATTGTTGTGTGAATATAACATGTAGTAAGCGGGATGTTAACAAGGTAATTACGATAAACGAATTGGAAATTATGGATGTGAAGATTGAGATAGAGGTAATAAAAAAAGGGGTAAGAAGTTTATAATGTTCCGTTGAGGTATCCGGCGATCTAGTCGTGAGCCAAGGTAAAATTAGAGGCTTAATATTACCTTTTCTGGATACATAAGTTTGGTTTTCTGGAGTTGATCTAGATGACTAGATCACACATAACATTGTCAAATACATTAATACATGCCTTATTTTGGCGCATTCACGATCCTGACCCCCGCGAGATCCATATTAATCTACTTTATTATATTATGAATACAATGAATTTTAACGTTTATAAAAAAACGTTTTCCATCCTGTTGAATTCTCTAAGCTAAGTGATATAATTTCATAACCTTCTTTAGCATTCAAGGCAATATCTTTATTGCTTGTTTACTACATAAAGAACAATAATGAAAGATCAACAATGAAACTATGTAGTTTTCAGACCTCAATAGCATATATCTAAGCTGCATATTTTCTTAAACGTAAAAATACATGGAACAATATTTCCATTTTAAAATAAAAAAATTTTTCGAAAAAAAGGGAAAATTACATACCCAAACAGTCATTCAATGATTGTAGGTAAGTGAAATTTTCATTAGATAACCAACATAATTGTGCAACATTTGTACCTGTCATATTAGTAGTATTACTAATAATACTTCCATTGAATAGTCCATATATTCTTTGATTACAATTTTGACTCATACTTTGTTGAATAATAAGCAATATATTTTCAAGAACGAAAATCATCCAGTATACATGTTTCCAACGAAATTTATTAAGAGTGATTAAGAACAGCATAATTGATCAATCTTAATATTTTAACATACTGAATTGACAAAACAGTATAGAGTAAACTATCTTGTAAAATATCTTTATGGGGAAAAGAAAAAAAAAGAACGGAATGAATCAAATAAATTAGCCACAAGTTATTAACTCATTACATAGTTAAATACACAATTTATCATTAACATACTGTGATTTCGAACAACAAAGAAATGATTATCTGTTTCATAAAGTTTAAAAGTTCTTAGCGATGAATACGTAAAACTTCACCTCAAATTAAATCTAAAACTTTCTGTTCTCCTAATAAATACTCTTATGTTAATGAGTCTCAATATCAATCTTAAGTTTAGTAAATACCTACTGGATTGCTTGAGGTTAGACATTAACACCATCGGATGCCGGATCAGTGGTCCAGTAGGTTAAGCGTTCGGCCGTGGGTTTGAATCCCACTAACGTTATCGTGCATGCGCACTGCTGAGGAGTCCCAGAATAGAACGAAATGGCCGTCCAGTGCTTCTAGGTTTTCAATGGCGGTCTAACATAACTCGGTTCACGATTTCAATTAATCTCCACAACCCATGTACTCATCATTACCATGTGCTCACTAATGACTAGTTTCGTGAGGGAATTCTCGTGGTTCTGGTGAGACGCCGTGACCAATGGCGATAATCCGTATCGAGTAAAGACACGTATCTACCTCAGTACTATGGAAAATGGTCACGCAATTTCGTGGATTGGTTGAGGTTAGACATTAACACAGCTGGATGCCGGCTCAGTGGTCGCGCGCGAGATTGGGTTCAATTATCACGTGAGGGATTGTGGATGCACACTCCTCACGAGTCCCGTACTAGGATAAAACAGTTTTTCAGTGCTTCCACTTCTTCTACGGTGGTTTAGCTTAGATCGACTCATGAATTCAACTAGCAGTAATTTGTGCTGGCACTTGTTTGTGGACAAAGAGTTGGCATAATCAATGCAACGACATCATCATGTTGGAAAACCAGAGCTAAAACATCTGAAATATTGGATTACAAGGCACTTGTTTTTTTGCCATTTTCAATGGTAAATTCGAAAGTCCTCTATCCTATTCATTTTTGGGTTTTGAGTGAAAACAATACGATTGAAAACACTGTACTTAACCGGAGGCTTATTGTACTCGGTCTTTAAGAACTAAATATATAATGAGCAATATTAAATGGAGTTAAATTTTTGAAGAAAACTTAAAAAGTACAATGACATTTATGATACATTTACTTAAAAATATTCCCAAACTATTCATATTTGTACATGTATTTATTCATTACTTTTTTTCATAGATATACTAAGCTACTTGAAGCAGGTTCGTTCTTATCCATTTAACTGGTTCTTCGTTATTTATCAGTTTTCCATGTAAGTAAGATAAAATTATTTGTAAGAATCCCAGTGACTGAAATCAGACTGTCACAACATTTTGTTCAGTGACCTGCTTCAAGATTGTTTAAGAAAATATTCAGGATCTAAATAACAAATGCTAAATTAAGTTAAATCTGTGATAATCATGTAGAGATGACGAACTACTTCATAAGGTAGATAAAAGTCATTTAATATGGATTGCGTTTATGCTGTGGTGTGTGATCACATATATATATGAACATTTAGTGACTATGAGGTCACAAACTTGTTTCAATGTATCTACAATTATTTCTCCTATTTCCATGAAGACACTGAAGCTAATGTACTGATGAAACATTGGAATTATTCGATTTAAATCATTAGGATTTCTACAAATAAAATATCTTCTTAATATCTTATGTATAATTGATGACTTACGTTTTAAAAAACTGTTTATCCAAAGCTAGAGGAAAATTTATAATCATTTTACGTATCGCTTTTTTTTGCTTTATAAACTTGATTATATATTTGAATAACTTTCCATTTTAGAGAATTGATCAACATAACTACATAATAAAATGTCTTTTAAGGACTGACATGACGAGGCTACTATGTTGATAAAAAAAATCAGTGATGTTGGAACTTTATTTAAGAATTCCATTTCAGAATAAACGGACTTTTTTAATAGTTGAGATTATGAGTTAATTGAAGCTAGACCATCATGGAAAACCTGGAAGCACTGGACGGCCGTTTCGTCCTACTGTGGGATTCCTTAGCTGTTAGGTCCTGGGTTCGAATCTCGCGAGGTGGGATCGTGGTGTGCACTGCTGAGGAGTCCCACAATGGGACGAAACGGCCGTCCAATGCTATCAGGCTTTCCATGGTGGTCTAGCTTTAAATGACTCATGATCCCAACTATTAAAATTACTATAATATCCACAAAACCCCATCTGTGACTGTTTTTTATCCTGTTTAATTGAAATCTTACTAGAATTACCGATGAGGATTTATCGACAGTAATCCAAGTATAGTTTACCAGGGAATCGTTACCATCTGCTAGTTGATTATTATTTTTTCACAACTGATGGTTGTAACATTTTCCTTCAGTTGAATGTAGTTTATAATTTGCTTAAAATTCAATGACGTCACTGTAAATTTCATACTTTATAATCTTCGTTGAATCTAGTACTAAATTAGGATCATCTTGTACGGATAAAAATTACATAAGTTATACTTTATCATTTTTTGATAATTGTAAAGCTAATTTCTGATAAATTAACATAGCTACTTATATTATCTTTAGTAAGCTTGTAACAAGTTCAGTGTTGAAGTTTAACTGTGAACAGTAGCAAATTAATCATTTGAAAAACATTAGACGTTTAGTAAAACTGAAAGATTGGATGGTATCCGTTCACAATGTTCCACAAACAGCTGTTTACATATGATTAATGAGAAGAAATACATCTAATTTTACCAATTATAATCTACACATTAGCATTAACTGACTAGTTTATTACACTAAAATTAATAATCCCATCTGAAATAGCGAAGGAGACCTATTACGTCATTGAAGAAATTGGAGAAAGAAAGAAGGCAATTCAGCAATGAAAATTTTCTTTTCGACGAATTCACTTATTCAAATATGACTGTACAGCTAAAATGTAAGTAAGATCGTGGAGAAGCAAATTTTCTTTGCTGAATTGCTTTCTGTTTCTTCTTCAATCTTGTCTTTATTTGGTCTAGGTCAACTGATAAATTTGCTATGTACTTTAAACATTATTTTTACAGATTATTGAAAATAATGATTTAGTGTACTTCACAAATTGTGATTGTAATCCTTATGGAATTTCTATCATCATTATTTTTTTGGGATTGGTAAATTAATTAGACGTAAATGTAACACTATTAGATTACATATCAATTTCCTTATAATGAATTATTCATCAGTAGTATCTGTGTTGTAACTTGAAAAAAAATTAACATTCTAATCTAAATGTATATGAAATCTCGCGAGGAGGCGGGATCATAGATGCACGCCGCTGAGGAGTTTCACAATAGGACGAAACGGCCATCCAGTGCTTTAAGGTTTTCCGTGGTAGTCTAGTTTCAACTGACTCATAATCTCAACTATTAAAAGTGTATAAAACAATTTTATTTTAATAAATAAAAGATCTTCGTTGAAATAATCAAGAATACTGTCGACTGAATAAAATGACAATATTGATGATAATAATAATTCTTATCTACTTCTATACTCCAGTTAACAACAATGAAATAAACAAATTAACAATATGATAAGCAACTTACAATTTGATAAAAGATTATAATTTGCTCGAAATGTATAAACAATAATAATAAATCATCGTTCATATTTCACATTTCCTATTGACTTGTCAATTACAATCAAGTACAATTTATAAAAATATCCCAAAGTGAATGACAGATTATCTCATCAACCGATTAATATATATATATATATATATATATATATATATATATATATATATATATATATATATATATATATATATATATATATCTGACTCAAAAGATTGAAAATTACAGAATACTCGAAAGCACTTCAATAGGGTGATAGGATGATAGGGTATTAAAATTATTTCTTTTTGTGTGTGTGTATATGTGCGTGTTATTTTTATATATTTCCCGGTGTGTTTTTCAAATTTTTTTTTCTTTTTATTATCACTATGGTATTTTAAAGCATATAGACAAAACTGTTAGATGTATACAAGTGAACATAAATAGATACACATATATACATACACCTCACTTATACTAAATTATAGCCTTTATCTATTAGTGTTTATATTTCTAACTAATTAATAACTAAATTTTTGAATTAAAATTATTATCAATCTAAACAATGAACAACAAATTGTTAAATGAGTTCGATGTATATTGGGCGTTTAAAAAATAAAACTCAAAATAAACAAATAAATAAATATAGTAATGAACATCCCATTACAAATAACTATTTACATGAGGTAACCATATAACCAATAATTAAACTACGAACGACTTTCTTCATTTCAAATTGATCACGGTAGACGATAGAACAATGTGTATACTTGCTAAACAACATGTTAGTCAAATATAAAGTGAATATTATCTAATTATTCATTTAGGCCACTTGAATCAAAATACTAAGTATAATTGAAAAGTTAATTTAAAGAAACATTGAAAGTAAATAGCTCATTATAATAGGATAGTGATAATAAAAATTATTGTGATCAAATTTCAGTTTACCTGTTCAATATAAAGATTAGTTAACTGTTTGCAAAATATATCAATTTAGAAAGGAGGTAGTATTTTGATTACCTAGACGATACTTATTTCTGGTTAGCGTTTTTTTAGCGAGTTAGTTTTCTGCGGGATGACGTAGCTAACCTCATGCCCACTCCTCCTCCTTTATCCGGAATTGGGACAGACAATAGCTCCAGAAGGGCTTCAGCAAAAGTTTGACATTATATATATATATATATATATATATGTAAATAAATGAAGGTAGTCCTCCAAGTTTCAGCCACGTACAATGGAACTGTCTTGACGTTCGTACTGAAAATTCTGGCTTTGATGTTGGTTAACAATTATTTTGAGTTCCATATCATCTTGAACTGTAGGAATGT